TACCACTACCACTACCACTACCACTACCACTACCACTACCACTACCACTACCACTACCACTACCACTACCACTACCACTACCACTACCACTACCACTACCACTACCACTACCACTACCACTACCACTCCCACTACCACTACCACTACCACTACCACTACGACTACTACTACTACTACTACTACTACTACTACTACTACTACTACTACTACTGCTACTACTACTACTACTACTACTACTACTACTACTACTACTACTACTACTACTACTACTACTACTACTACTACTACTACTACTACTACTACTACTACTACTACCACTACTAGTATCACTACTACCACTACAATACTACTTGCGCGTCACTCATCCGCCGAGGGCATGTTCCGCCAAGGCCCTGCTCCGCCGAGGGCCTTTTCTGCCAAGGGCCTGTTCCGCCGAATGCCTGTTCAGCCCAGGCCTTTTGCGCCGCGTCCGCTTCCGCCCGGTCTTTTTCCACCAGGGCCGCTTCCGCTTCGGTCCTGTTCCGCCCGGTCCTGTTCCGCCCAGTCCTGTTCCGCCCAGTCCCAGTCCTTTCCGTCGCGGCCAACGCTCAGGCCGTGGCCGCGGCGCACCTCGCGCGTTGGAACCGGGCTTCGGCGGAACCGACCCTCGGCGGAACCGGTCCGGTCTTCGGCGGAACCAGCCTTCGGCGGAACAGGTCTTTGGCGGAACTGGTCTCGGCGGAACCAGTCCTCGGCGGAACTGGTCGCGGCGGAACCGGTCCTCGGCGGAACCAGTTTTGTATCGGTTCGGCAGTTCTGATTTTTTTTTTTTTTTTTGGTCTTTCACCTCCGCCAGGACGGTTCGATCGCCCGCACAAGCCCGAGTCAAATAAGAAAGGTCGCCGTTGCTCGGCCCGAGCGTCGACGCGTATTTACTTATTGTATGATGAGTAAAAGCCCCGCGATCTATATCTGATTGCCGCCATGCATTCTCTCGTGCCGCTTCCGACCCCCGCTATTCTAGTTTCTCCTCCTTCTACTCCTCCTCGTCCTTCCTTTATGCAGCGCGCCCATGCTTGCAATCTCGGCTCTGAGCCGCCCTCGGCCGCCGCAGCTTTTGGCCTGCGCCGCCGTGGCCCGGCTTGGCGGCCCCGTCGGGCCGGCGGCACGCGGCTGCGGCCCCGGGGAGATGGCAGTTCCGACGGCCCTTCCTCCTCTTCCTCCTCATCATCAGTATCACCATCTTCCGTCATCATCCTCATCATCATCATCAGCATCATCAGCATCATCAGCATAATTATCATCATCATCGCTATCATCATCATCATCATCATCACCATCGTTCTGCCTTTCGTCCCCTTCTCCTCTTCTCCCCCCTTCCCCCGCCCTCTTCCTCCTCCTCCTCTTCATCCTCCTCCTACCTTCCTCCTCCTTCTCTTCCTGCTTCTCCTTCTGCTCCTCCTCCTCCTCCTGCTCCTTCTCCTCCTCCTCCTCCTCTTCCTCCGCCTCCTCCTCCTCCTCCTCCTCCTCCCCCTCATCCTCATCATAGTCCTGCCTCTCCTCTCCCTTCTCGTTTCCCCCCTTCCTTTGTCCTCCGCATCCCCTTCTCCGCATCCTGATCATAACCCTCCTGTTCCTACTCCTCGGCGGCGCCGCCTTTGAGAGGGCTTCCCCCCTCTCGTTTCACTCCTTGGCGTGCCGCCGACCTCATCCCCATCCGCATGAGAACTGTGCTTTTCTTTGCTCTGGGCGAACTGAAGCCAATGAACTGGAGCGTACACGGATACAAAAGAATGCGTGTCGCCGACTAGGGCAACGCGCGATAAAATCAGGCGAGGTTAGCGCAGAAGATTTAACGGACAGGCCAAGAGAGACAAGCAAAAGGAAGTAGGCCCAAAGGCTTGAAGTATACGCTGGTCCCGTGGTAGTGGTGGGGGTGATGGAAACCGAACCGAATCGAACGAATATAACCGATTAATGGGGTCGCCCCACCGGCGGCGGCATCGCGTGCGCTGGCGCTCGAGAGCTGAAGGCTCCAGGGGCCCTTCAGCGGCCGAGAACGTTCCAGGGGTGAGGCCGTTCGAGCGGCGGCGGAGGCGGGAGGGCCCGCACCGTGACGGCAGGAGACCTTTTGTGGTGTCCTCCAAAACGCACCAGGGGACACCCGAGAACACCCCCAAAAGGAGAGCCCCGCCGGGCAACGGCTACTGTTCTCCCGCAGGAGCATGGAGGAGTGTAGAGTTCTCGCCTTTCGGGCTTCTGGCCGCCCAAGACGCCCGCCAATATCGCCCCCACGATCGCCCCAGGTCCACCTCCACTCCCTACGCACCTCCGGGCCCCGAGCCAGGGGGGCGCGGTGGTCCCGCCCCGTGGGGCGGGCTCTGGCCTTGATATTCGCGGCTAGGGTTTGCTGCGTCGGCCGCAACAACAGCTGACGAGAGCAGAGACGGCTGCAGGGGCACCAAGAAGCCCGAAACACTTGGTCCGTACGGTCTGCAGCCAGCCGAAGTCACGCAGGGTGAGGGAGGGGGGAGGAGGCACGCAGCCACCACCCAGCATCATCACAGCAAGAGAATCGTGTCCTCCCCCCTGGGGGCGGGCGCGGGGGGGAGACTGGGGACGGGGGGTATTCGAAAATTGGTAGGCGCAGCTGGTTTCTTCGGCGGGTGGCTTCGCCTCTGGCACTGGGGGGGGGGCGCCACAAAGAAGCTGCGAGCAGCTGCCAGGGGCTTTCACACAGTGCGGTGACCACACCGTGTGGTGAGTCGGTGGGGATTCGGGGTTACCGCACGGTTTTGGGACTCGGGTCGTTCTCCGAGGACGTTTCGGGCGGCTGGGGTCTCCAGGGTACTAAATCTGTGCGGTGACGGACCGTGCGGTGAGGTCTTTGGGGATTTCGAGGTCACCGCACGGTATTTCGCCACACCGCTTCGGGACCCCCAGGGCGAATTCGCCGGCATTCCCTCTGCTATCCCCTCCCCCTGCACTTGCGTCCACCCCGATCCCAGGCCCTGCCGCAGATCCAGAAGAGGAGGCTGCAGATAACGAAGGACGTCGTGCCGCCAGGCTTGCGGAGCCTTGATTACTGGCAGATCATGGATTATTGGAAGGTGTTCGACAAGAACGGGGACGGCATGATGGACAAGAACGAGTTTTTCTTCCTGGTGAACCGGATGAACCCAGACCCAGTTGAGAGGTCCTGGAGGGAGGGGGAGGAGGAAGAGGCAGGCAGATTCATCAGGGGAGGCAAACAGGGGAATGATGACTAGGGGGTGGGATATCATGGCGGGGGCCATGAAATCTCCCCAGAATTCATGGCGCCTCTTCTTATTCCATGCATCCTCGGTCCCCCCCCCGTCCTGGGCCGCGCACGTGCCGCTGGCCACGATCCCTCCACCTGAACTTAGGATGGAGATCTTACATGTTCTTGAACGGTTTGAGCTAGGGCTTTTGAAATTCGGTGATGTAAACAATACAATACACAATACAATACCTGCTAAACGATCCAAGGAAGTTTAAACATCGGCGCTGCGGGGCCCATCCCCCGCACAACTTTTACATACAATATTTCCCGCTCTCGCCTGCCCCCTCTCCCCCTCTCTCCATAGCCTGTCTTCGGGTCAAAACGGACGGAGCGCCGCATGTTCCCCCCTGGGACCGCCGCGGCGCTGCCGGCCCTGAGCGTGGCGCTGCTCGCTGGACTGGGGTGGCGACTGGCTCCTGCGCCCCCGTCGCCCGAGCCCTGGACCGGGACTCCGGTGTGGGTCGACGAGGTCGCGGAGGTCTGCGACGCGGCCTCCTCTGCGGCCCGGCTGGCCGAGCCTGCGGCCCGGTCGGCCCTTGACCTGGCGGCTGCGTCGCCGCCTCCGCCGCCGCCTCCGGCGGCCTGCGAGCCCTGTGTGTGCCCGGAGTTGCCAGAGGACAAGGGGCTTGAGGCAATGGCTGCGCACGTGATCGTGGGGCTGCTCTCGCCGGTGTGGCTCTGGCTGGCGGGCCGCTGCTGCAGCTGCGCGGGGCGCCGTCCCGACCTTCGGCGTCATGATGGACCGGCGCCGGCGCCGGGCAGCCCTGCCCCGTTGCCCGCGGGGGAGGAGTGGTGCGCTAACCTGCCTTGCGGGGCGCGCGCCCTTTGGCGACTCGGTGGACCACGAGAGAGTCGTCGTGTGGCCGTCTCGGCGCGAAGAAGGTGGCGAGGTGGTCGACGCACACGTGTACTGGGTGCATTCGCTGGTCGGGGACGTTTGGGAGGAGCTCTTGTCGGGGCCTCCCCGGCTGACGGCCCCTCCGGGGCGAGCACATTGTGACTGGTGCTCCTCCGCCTGCTGGGGATCGAAACAGCTTCAAGACCCAGCCCACGCTCGGCCGGGTGGTGGAGTTGGCCGACGAGCACAGGGAGACGATGGAGGCGCGCGGACAGAAGACCGCGGAGGGGCCGTCCCACGTGGAATTCCTGTCGGGCGCCCTGCTGGACAGCGCTGAGGTGTGGTTTCCTCCTTCGGGCGCGCGTCGCCGGCTCCGCGGCAAGCAGGCGCGGCCTCTCCTGGACGGCGACGCGGCCGACGCTCTGGCGGCGGCCCTGACGGGTACGCCCACGCCGCCGCCAGAGGGTCACGCGCGGGTGCTGGCTGAGCCCATCGTCGGGCACGACGTCGGCGCAGTCGCGGACGCCTCGAAGGAGACCTTGATCGGAGAGGCAGTCGATGCCCTGTGGTTCCGGCGCGGCCGGGCTTTGCGGGTGGAGCAGATCGCGGAGTTCGAGGTGGCCGACTGGGCGGCGCGGCGCCTTGCCGAGCTGAGCCGCCTCCTGGAGGCGTCGCTTCCCGCGGCTGCTCTCGGCGACGGATCCCTGGCCTTCGGCGACGGGCCCGTTCCGAACGGCGGAGGGGCCGCCGACGTGAGAGCCGGTGCTGCCGAGGCCGCCCCGATGGCCGCGAAGCTCGATGACTCGGGCGGCGACGACACCCGCACCCTCTGGGTCGAACGGGGCGACCAGGGTGACCGCTTCAAGGAGTTCAGGAAGGCCGTCAGCGAGTCGGTGAGCTACGTCTGGGGCCACCAGCGACTGGAGGGAGGCTTGACGCGCCTCCGCACTTGCAAGATGATGCGCCGCACCTCGGGCTCGCCGCGGGCTTGGCTGGAGAAGTTCCTGAGGGGGAAGAACTTCGCGCCGACCGACCGCGTGGCCCGCGAGCTTCGGCCCTTGGTTGAGGCGCTCGAGGAGGCAGGATGCATTGACCAGGTGTACCTGGGCGGTCTCGCCTGCCTCGAGGTGATCGCGCGCCGCCTCGGCGCGATCGTCGACGCCTGCAAGCGCGGCGGTGCTCCTTCTGTCGCCAACGCCAAGTACCTTTTCGCCGCTGGGCGACGCGGGCGAGCTGCCAGCGCTGGCGCTAAGGCACCGGGCCTCCCGCCGCGCCAAGGAGGACTCGGAGGTGGGGCAGTCGATGAAGAGGGCGGAGGCCGTCGATGCTCGCGTCGTTCAGGGCACGGCGGCCAAGGAGACCAGCAGCGGCAGTGGCGCCGCAGGGGCCGGCGGGGCGGACAAGGGGCGGGGTCGCGGCCGAGGCCGCGGGCGCGCGCCAGGGCCCTTCCCGCCGGTCCAGTCATGACCGAGACGGCTTGGCCGGGGGAATGGGCCCCCCCCGGCTGGGAACGCGATCTGGCCCGAGCCTCGCCGCTGCCGCCGTCCGATTTTGAGAGAGACCTGTCCCCTGCGCCGCCGACGACGGAGCCGGGCGACCTTGCCCGCGGGCGCAGGTCTCAGCGCAGGACTCACGCGCGACAGCATGAGGTTGAATCTGCGAATCGTGCTCTGACCAGCCTGAACTGGATGGCCGGCTTAAAGGGCGCGTCTTCTTCGCCGAGCCCAGGCGCGTCGACTTTGGATAAGCGCGCGGCCCTTCAGCGGCATCTGCTTCGCGAGGCTCATCGGCGCCAGGCCGCAGCCCCTCGGGCGTTGCCGAAGGCGGCGGCAGCCCTCAGGGAGCTGCTCCAGGGGCAGTCCGTATGCGAGACAGACTCGGCCCCAAGGGACCCAGACATCCTGCGTCGTGATTTTTCCGACCCGCTTCTCATCGCATTGATTCATAGCGCACGGGTTGACATCGAGGAGTTGAATTGATTTGTTTGTCAAAGTGGATTGATCTTTGGTGAGTTGAATTGATGTTTTGAATGTGGATTGTTTTTTATGGTTGGATGGATTGATGTTGTGTATTATGGCTTGATTTGTTGTTTTAGGCTAGGTGAAGCCTTGGCTGCAAGCGGCGCGAGCTTGACCGCGCGCGCACGCGCGCCGAGCACATTGCATCACGACTGCGCGGCCGCCAGTACCGAACAAACATCCTTTCCTCTTCCCCCTCCTCCTTCCCCCTTGTTTCTCTTCGTTTTCGTCGCCCTCCTCCTCCCCCTCCTGCCTCCAGCCGCCTTCGGCTCCTCATCCTCCTTATAATTTCCCTTTTCCTCGAGACTTTCTGATCCCCCCCTTTAACCTCCCCCCCCTCCTCCTTTTCGCCTGCTCTGGCGAACCTTCCCCCACTCCTCTCCTCTCCCCCTCATCCCCCCCCTCCTCCTCCGTCTCGCCCCCCCCTCCTTTCTCCTCGCCCCCCTCGATCGCTGCGCCGCGCAGCCATCGGGTCAGGCGCGCCCTCCGCGCGTATACTCGGGATGGCATAGTAATTAATCAAGGGCCCTTGGGGACTAACCTTCCGACGCGTCTGCCCCCTGCCCCATCATTATCATCCTCCCGCTCCTCCTGTTGCCCCTCCCCCACCTATCCCTCTTCCCCCTTCTACCCCGCCCCCCCCCCCCCCCCCCCCCCCCCCCTTCCGACAGCGCGCGCCCAACCCCCCCCCCCCCCCCCCACACACACACAACACACACACACACACACACACACACACACACACACACACACACACACACACCCACACACACACACACACACACAACACACACACCACACACACACACACACACACACACACACACACACACACACACACACACACACACCACACACACACCCACACCACACACACACACACACACACACACACCCACCACACCAACACACCCACCAACCCACACCCACACCACCCCACACACACACACACACACACACACACACACACACACACACACACACACAACCACCCCACCCCACCCCAACCCCACCCCCCCCCAACCCCCACCCCCACCCCCCCCCCCACCCCCACCCACCCCACCCCCGCCCCACCCACGCCCCCCACCACCCACCCCCCGCGATCCAACGGGGGATTAATTATTACGCCACCCAGAGTATCCCTCGCCCCGCGCGGCGCCAAATGGCGAAACCGAAGGCGAGGCCTTCGACGTCGCGCCCATTCGCCGAGTCGAAGGCGGACCCGAAGGTCATCGCCGCGGCCCTCGCGATCGCGCTCGCAGGGCGGCCCGCGCTGCGGGGGGCAGCCGACGGCCCAGGCCAGCGGAAGAGGAGGGGGATCAGGAGGATGATCAGGAGGAGGAGGAAGGAGAAGGAGGAGGAAGGGGAGGAGGAGGAAGAAGATGGAGGAGGGGGGCGAGGAGGGAGACGAGAGGATGAAGGAGTAGGAGGATGAGGATGATGACGAGGAGGAGGAGGAGGAGGAGGAGGAGGAGGAGGGGGGGGGGAGGAACCTCGAGGAAGATGATGAGAAGGCGAAGGATCCGGGAGAGGAGCTGCCAATCCCCCCGCCCCCCTTCCAGTAGGCCATGCGCCTGACTTCGCCTACGCGGTGACCAAGTTCGAGCACAGGCCGAAGATGGGCGAGATCAAGGGTCGCGCGGGTTCGATCGTCGCTGGGTCGATCGATCGATCGACCCAGCGACGATCGATCGATCGATCGATCGACCCCGCCTTCCTCGAGGAAGGCGGGGGAGTTGGAGAAGAAGCGAGTGGGAGAGGCAGGGGGGGGGGGGGGGAGACAGGAAGGGAGAGACCAAACGGATACAGGGACAGGGGGAGGGGGAAGGGAACGAGGGAAAGCGCGCGCGTGGCGCGGGCGGGGGCGGGGGGGGGAGGCAGCGAGGGAGGGGCAGTAAGAGAGAAGGGAAGTTGAGACCAAACAGATGCAGGGAACAGGGGGAGGGAGGAAGGGAACGAGGGAAAGCGCGCGCGCGCGCGCGCGCGGGGCGGGGGGGGGGGGGCAAGCAAGGGGGGGCAGTGAGAGAGAAGGGAAGTTGACGCCCCCCCCCCCCCGCTTGCCAGAAATTCGAGCCCCTCGTGGCCGAGCTCAGGTGGTCAGCTGCGGCCTCCGGTTCTCGCAGAAGAACATTTGTTTTTGCATGGGGGTCGCCCTCGATCGGTGCCATCTCGCAGCCCTCGAGGGTCGCGAGATGGCGCCGATCGAGGGCGATGGCAACGCCGAGGGCGACGCGACAGAGGCGGCGATCGACGACGATGACGACGATGACGGCGGCGTGGAAGCGGCAACGCTGACGATGACAACAACGACGGCAATGATGGCAACGACGGCAATGACGAAGAGGAAAGAGAGATGCACAAGGATAGAGGGGAGACGATGAGGACGAAGAAGACGGCATAACACGATACCGAGGATATCGTCGGCATCGTGTTATGCCGTCTTCTGGTAAATACCAGGTGGCGCAGGTAAAACAGCACATCATCTGGTACACGCCAGATGATGTGCTGTTTTACCTGCCGCATCCCCAGGACCTGCGTTTTTACGTTCGTCGATGTTTGCTCCCAGGACCTGTGCGCCTGGATTGGCGCAAACTCAATCTACCACTGTTTGCGCTGGACTTCGGTCAGCTCCTTAACTGGCGCCCCAGTCCTTCAATCTTCCCATCCCGGCCGCCCTCGCTCTCTCATCCCTCGCGCTCTCAGGCCGCGTGGGACCGCGCGTTCCGCGATATCTACATCAACGATTTCAGGGCAGAGCACTCCCGCTCGCCGACAGCAGCGAGGATGGAGGGCATCAGGTGCCTCGCATTGCCACGAAGGGCGCGGGGGGGGGGGGGATACTTTGGACGGCGATGAGGCTACGAGGGCGACAAGCGGGATGGAAAGGAAGGACATGGACTACGACGCGGAAGGAAGAGGAGGTGGGGGCAGGAAGACGAGGAGGACCAGAGGGAGGGAGATAGAGAGGAATCCGGATAGGATGTAGAGGAAGAGGAATTCAGAAGGAGTAGGGTGAGAGGAGCAAGGAGCAGAGAAGCACAGGCATTCAACTTAAGATGGATGGGAGGTACATTCAATCGCGGTGCGCGCGCATGATGTTCAGCCACTATCTTCGAGCGGGTGCCTCTGAGAAGGCGCAGAGGGTGGGCGCGAGATCAGGGCAGGTTGGCTGGCGAGGATGTTGCATCCAAGATGTTGCTTGGTTCCCATCGGCCTTGCATGTGTCCACTTTACCAGGGTGCCACGATGATGAGGGGGGGGAATGAGGATGCCGATGGGGGGGGGGGGGGGGGTAATGATGAGGGTGTTGCTGATGATGGTGATCAGAGTGCTGCTGCTGTTGCTGCTGCTGCTGCTGATGATGATGATAACCAGCATCGATGATGATGCTGACGATGATGATGATGGGCAGGCTGAGGATGAAGACGAGGAAGACGAGGAGGAGGAGGAGGAGGCGGAGGAAGTGGAGGAATGCAAGGGGGAGGGGGAGTCGGAAGAGGAGGGTGGGAGGAAGAGTAGCAGGAGGATGATATCGCGCCGGAATCTCGACTGAGAACGGCGAGGGGAGGCCGTTGGTGAGGACAGTGACGTGAGCGATGGCGAGCTCGAGCGCTTCTTGAAGGCAGCCAATGATGATGGCGCTCGGGTGCTCGATATCTCGGCGGCTGCGAGCGCCGGGGCCTCGCTGTCGTCGGCGGCGGCGCCACGGGGGTGCAAGGGGGGCTGAGGAGCGTGGGGCCAACCAAACACTAGGACAGGTAGAGGCGTAGGTGCAAGTGTGGTCGGGGGCTGGGCAGGGGCGAAGTCGCGGCGACCGCGATGGCGATGGCCTTGCTTTTCTCGATTGCTACCCTGCCGCCCCTTGGACCAGGGGGCCGCCCGGGCACTCGGGGGCTGGCCAGTGTTCCGTATTCCATGCCTCTCTCCCTCTCGATCTGTTTCTCGGATTCTCGATGGCTCTCGCTAACCATCTGAGATGCGCATACCTATAGGAGAGGGGGGTGGAAAGGAGGAAAAGGAAGAGGGGGGATAGGGGGGGCGCCCGCGCTCGCGGGGAGCCCCCGGGGATCAAGAAGGAAAAGAAGTCCAAGAACACAACGCAAGATATCGAAAGAGAGCAAGCGGAAGGGTGAGAAGCGAAAGAGCACCCGTCACAAAAGCAAAGATGCGTTGGCCAGCGCAGTTGACAGCATTGAGCCTGGAGCCCTGCGGCCAAGGGCCACCGACTCTGCCCC